TATATTTTGTTGTTTTTTAAGAAAAATGTAGTTTGTGATACCTATATCATTTTAAAAAGAATTTAATAAACTAGAACCCAAAAATATATAAGAAAAAATTGAACCTACACCTAGCCAAAGTTTTTTGTTTTGAATGCGTTCCACCAACTTCAAATACCGACAGACAGCTGTTTCGACCTTTATTGGGTCTCATCAGTGTCGGGCAACTTGGTGTAGTGGAACCAGAGTTGGGAGTACTGAGTATTTTTTTTAATGGATTATGCTATCATTACTAATTATTACTTGATTTTATAATTGTAATGAGAGAAAAATATTGAGTACTTTTTATTTTTACTTTACCAATTTGATAATTACAATTCTTTTTTTATTTTGTAATTATAATCAGATAAAATATCAAGTACTTTTTATTTTAACTTAAAATGTTTACTGATTCTAAATATTTTTTTATTTTATTTTATAATTTGATAATTACAATTTTTTTTTTATTTTCTAATTATAATCAGAGAAAATATCAAGTACTTTTTATTTTAACTTAAAATGTTTACTGATTCTAAATATTTTTTTATTTTATAATTAAAAAATAATAAAGAACAGAATACATTATATATTTTTTTTTTATTTGATTAAAATGGTGAATAAGGATACTTCCGTGCTTGTTTATGTTTTTATTGCGACTAGTTTCGATCTATATTAGATCATCTTCAGGCAAACTGCAAAAATATGTAAAATTATTATAAGGTTATGTTAACATAATAATGATAAAATTAACGCCGTGTCTAGAGTCCCGTCAGACGGTTCCCTATTGCGCTCCCGTTAACAGAGTGACGTCATCCAATGACGCAATCTTAGGACGGGAAGCAGATATTTTTTCCTTAACTAACGTCCCGAGTCCGCCCGCTTCGAAACCAACCCAAACCAAACAACCCAACCCAACCGACCCCGTATATACATTATTTATAATTATTAATTAAATTTTGTTTTTTATTTTCAATCGGTCCCGTTAAAAAATACTTCGTACTTGTATTTTCATTTATATTTTAACCCCTTCAGACCTGGAGTACATACACATGTACATTAGCTTTTTAGTAATTTAATTACTATCAATAGGCATTCAATTTCATTTGAAATCTAGTATTCACCCCCAAGTACATTTGTTTTGGTAAACTAAGGTAAATGTTGCGACTTCTCTTACTTAAACTGCCCCTTTTGATTGAAAATTGTCTCATATAATGGGGATGCGCATAATGACCGCAACAACACGTTGATGACAGTTTGTCTTAGCGGGCCTTTAGATGATTTATAAAAATATTTTTTTAAATATAAACTGGTGTAGTTTGTTCCTAAAGGTATGTACTAAGACATCTAAAAACTATTTTGGTATTATCTACACCTAAACCTTATAAAACATTCGATGTACATGCATGTGAACATCCTGAAATTATCCTGAAATTTCACAATTAAGATTTTTTAGCATCAAATATGTGTTATTTAGGTCCTAATTGGATAGATTTAGGAGCCATTTATTATTTTTTTTCGTCGTTAAATAATTCAGGTTTGAAGGGGTTAAGTACAATCAATTTTTTACTTTGACTTTAAACTTTTTGCATTACGAAGTACTAAAAAATATTATTTATTCAAATTAATAAGTACAATTATTTTTGTATTTTTACTTTAAATCAATTTAGAGTAGAAAATACAATGTATTGATAATTTTTATTTTCTTCATTCTCAAGTAACTTAAATATTCTAATGGCAATACTTTTTAAGTACAAATTATTTTTGTATTTTTACTTTAAATCAATTTAGAGTAAAAAATACAATGTATTGATAATTTTTATTTTCTCCATTCTCAAGAAATTTAAATATTCTAATGGCAATACTTTTTAAGTACAAATTATTTTTGTATTTTTACTTTAAATCAATTTAGAGTAAAAAATACAATGTATTGATAATTTTTATTTTCTCCATTCTCAAGTAACTTAAATATTCTAATGGCAATACTTTTTAAGTACAAATCTCGCAACTCTGAGTGGAACACAATCAAAACAAATTACTCCCTGAGCTTATATGCTCGGTTGTTAAGTCAACAGAGGCGAGATGTAAGAACATCTGGTGATCCACACCGTCAAACGACGTGGCCTTTGCCGCAATCAATTTTTTCTTATGAATATTACCAGTGATGGGTCAAGAAAGTTTCTTAAAGAAACTAAGAAAATTGAATGTTTATCAAAAATATATATTTTTTAAATAACTTTTTAAAAAAAAAATTTTTTAGCACATTAAACCGAGTCAAGTTGGCCTACTTATATTTAATTTTTAGGAGTTTTAGGAGATTGATGGCAATTTTAGGAGAATTTTAGGAGTTTTTAAGATTTAAGCCAAATTTTAGGAATTTTATGAATTTTAGGAGGTGTGGGAGCCCTGCTAAAACCTCACTCATGGACAACACATTTTACAACATATCCCCAATCGAATCCAGTCCTGGCCTGTATTTTGAGAAAATAGGAAAACTGAATACCTTTAACGATAAGTGGAAATTACTTATTTACTTAGATTTAGGAAACTTACGCAAAGAATTAGAGTCAATAAAAATCAAATTCGCTCAAGTCAAGCATCTATGTTATTTAGCTCAAATACGCGATGTCCCTGCAAACGAGTGCGACACTTTAAATAAAACAATAAAATATTCTATAGAAAACAATATTAATAAACAAAAGTTAATTTTTGAAACTTTAGGTGATCAAAGCGAAACGCGAAGGTCAAAACGAGGTTTGGTTAATGCCGTAGGACAAATATCCAAAACTCTTTTTGGTACTTTAGATTCAGATGACGCTGAATATTACGATAAACAAATTCAAAAATTAAACGAAAATCAGGATCACTTATTAAACTTAATTAAGGAGCAAACGTCAATCGTGAAAGGCACTGTTCATGAAGCAAATCGCACATACGTAAATACCAACAAAAATTATAATAATAATAATAATGCTTTATTGAACTAAAACCAAGTTCAAAGGCTATTGACCGTAGTCCTTCAGCCGCAAAAATTATAAAATGTTAGAATATAGATTAAATAGCTTTTATAACTATGCAAACAATTTAAGTAAAAATCAAACTAAGATAAATTTAAGTAGCGAATTAGGTTTAAAATTAAATGAAATAGTTTCATTATTGGAATTAATACAAATTAATTTTAAGTCTCAACAAGAAAATTTATTAGAAATAATTTTAAGTGCATTAAAAGGATCACTTCATCCATTAGTTATTAGTCCATTAAGATTAATTAAAGAATTATCTAAGTTACAAAATTACATGGATGGATTAAGTTTTCCTGTAACTCCAGTGTTAGAAAACACACATACTTTGTTTAATTTAGTTGAAACTAATGTTTACTATTACAATAATCGTTTAGCATTTTTACTATTAATTCCGCTAGTAAGCCCACGTGAATATGACATAATAAAAGTATCAAGTTTACCCGCTCAAATTTCAAAGAATAAATATGCTTTTATTGTCTCACCAGAGACGTATCTTATTATAGATTCAATTAAACAACATTATTTTATGATGAATAATTTAGAATTATCACTTTGCAAAAGCCCAGTTCAAAATCAATATTTTTGTGAACAAACAAAACCCATTCTTTTAGTTCATCTTCACGGTGGTTGCGAAGCAAATTTGTTTGTACCTTCAATAAATATTCCCAAATCTTGTGAAAAGAGGATTATGCAGTTGGATTACCCAATATTTTTACAATAAGCTAATCCAAACTCATGGCTCTATGCTATTCCTACAGAGGAACATATTGATGTAAATTGTAAATCAGTTAACCAGAGATTATCTTTAAAATTAATTAATATTGGAATATTTCAAATAGATTCAAAGTGTACTGAATACACTAAGAGTATGATTCTTGTCCCACATAGACAATTTTCTTCTGAAATATTAATTGATTATGTTCCACCACTAGACATTAAAAATGAAATACACTTTAACATAAGCACCTTAAACAATTTTTCAAAGTTAAGTACACCATTAATAATAGAATCTTTTGATGTCAATGCATTAACAAGAATTAGTCAAAATTTAGATGTTTTAGAGGAAAAAGAAAAGGAGTTTTCCAACAATAATTCATTTCATTTTCATAAACTAACACTGCACAATATGCTTAACTACATATTGGTCATTTTAATTCTAATTATTATTTTATTTTATAAAATTTATGCTTTTCTACTTCCACGAATTAAGAAGCACTTTGGTAGTGGAAGAGGAGCATGAGCTTAATGAAAATTGCACCAATCCTCGGTTCAATTTTGAAAATTAGGGGGGAGGTGTTGTAAAGTCCCTTTACACCCCTTTCCAAGGGTCATTTACATTGTAATTTAGGATAAGTTATTTTTTTAGAAATACACGTGTAGTGCAAACATTTTATATTTTAAGTTCGTTACTCTTTTCCAAGCATTAAACCTCGTTTCTGCTGAGTCTTTGTTTTTCTATATTAGGGTTTTATTATTAATTTTCTATTGGTTAGAACTATTGTTGCTGGTAAATTTTCATTGGTCTACATGGTCAGACCATCTTCGCGTATGTCATGTGACATACCCTAAACAAAACCAAAGGCACAAACAGAAATCGGGAATTAGGTTTCGAACAATAAATTAGTATGTAACAAGTCTAAGAATAAATTAATTAAGTAGATTGAAGCCAGAAAATAGTGTAAGTTGTAGTGATAATCGTTTAAGTACCAATAAACGTACAATAATAAAGTAGTACAAATCCTGAGTGTCATTGGACTCACCCTAAACTCCTAACCCTCAACAATTTAATGCATTTTATTATAAATTATGCTATGTAAATCAACTCTTGAAAAAAACAAAGTACATATTTAAAAAAAGTAGAGTTGTGTTAGTTTAGTGCCCAATGCTGGGTGGGTTGTTTTAGTAAATTGTCTTAATCTAGTAAGATATGTAAGAGGTAAAAATATATTTTATATTACTTACAATTATACTTTTCCTTTCAAAACTTATTCCAGTTAAACTAACAATCTGATGAGCTGTAAAATACACTATTTAAATAATTTTTTTTTTTTAAATATGTTCAAAAAAATTGTTTGAATACTTATAGTTTAAAAGGCCGACAATTATCTCCAGTTTTTTCTCGTTTCATTCTTTATTTATTTTTATAGCAATCCTAAACAAACATAACCGCCATTGACGAAATCTGTCAACATAAATCCGTGTTGCCAAATTAAATTAATTTTAGGGAGCCAATGTTTCCTTTTTTGGTCTTTTCTTTAGCGGATAAAATTTTTGTTTTAAAGCAAATTTTCTTTTCTAAAAAACCCTATTACCTTGTCTTTCCGAAATCCTATACCGTCAAATTATAATTGAGCCAAATATCCCTTGCGTCGAGAAAGCCATCAGGAATCTACCTAGCAACGTTGACAAAGCTTTTAAATATTTAGTTTAGTGTTGCCAACATGCGAGTAATTCCTTACACTGGAATTTTATCGTGTGAGGACTTTTGTAAGTGATGTACAGTTCACAGAACATAAGTTGTAAGTTAAATATAAGTAAACAGGGTAACTTTTGCTATATGTTTCTATATTTTCCTTTGAAAACTCTAAAGCCTGATTTATAGATTGTCTTCCTTTCTTCCTCCCGTAAAAGATAAACAATACAAAAACCGTAGTGCCGTTTTTAGATTCCCGTACGGAAGGCAATCTATAAATCAGGCTTAAAACTGGACGTTTTAGGAATTTCTTTTTAATGTTAGGTAATAATTATTACTTAAGTGTTGCGATATTTGTTATTTGAGTGTCGCTTATAAGAGGATTTTTAACTACATATATTAGTCGTTTTTTCGCGTAAATACCATGAAATACTAGGTTCATTCCAACCAGCAGTAATTTCCAGTAATATTACTGATACACATGCGCGTTTGTAAAATGTCGTTCCAACCAACTAAAATTACTAGTTTAGAACTGGCAATTACTGTCAGTTCGTCGTTCCAACCAGAGTTACGAACAGTTAAATTACGGTTCAAACGATTCTTGCTCGAGAGCAAGAACTGTTGATAATAAAATTAGACGCATGCGTAGAAGGGGCACATAACCTCATCTTTTTGTTTATTTATTAACGTTTGTAAGTTTGTTTTCTGTTAAAGTGGACATATTATTTAAAAATGACTGCTATACAAGTTGATTTTATTAATTTTTAATGTTAATACATCTAATTTTTGTCATTTGTGAGCAGGAATGGAAGAATTTATGGGTACGCCTCGATGCATCGAAACTCAATAGATCGAATCTCGCTAGATCGAAAATTTACATGACCTTCGAAGCTCACCAGATCGAAAATGTGTGGCAACGTCTCTTTTGAAACGTCAAAGGCTTAAGGCTTTGTTCACATGTTTTATACAAAAAACGTATTTTCTTAAATGAGATCTACTTACTTTCGTTCAAACAAGATTTCGGTCAAAGAAAAGTAGTATACATCTGAACCAGAATCTGGCAGATAGGTATGCAATGATATTTATCAAACAAAAGTACAGATAAATATAAAATCCCCTTCTCAGATTTTTTTTTAATATCGGAAAATTCATATATAAAATAATAATTATTGGAATAAATTTTGGAAAGTGTTGTCAATGTATAAGGGGAATAACCATACATTCCTTGCAAATAAATCATGGAAAATGCATGGTTTTATAAATAAATATTAATATACTCATATGCATGGTTTTATAAATAAATATTAATATACCTACTTACTCATATTGTGAGTTACGTGTAAGGGGCAATTCATTAATTACGTAAGGGTCCCGATGTGGAAGGGGGGGTTCTCAAAATCTCCCCATACCCTTATCTCGGGGGAGGGGGGCTAAAAGCCATTCTTATCATTTTCTAAAACCAGATAAAATCTTACGTAAGAAGGGGGAGGGGGAGTCCGAAAAATCTTATGTGATCTTACATGGGGACAGGGGGGTCAAAAATGGCCAAAATCGTCCTTACGTAATTAATGAATGGCCGCTAAGTGTAACTTGGTGTTACCTATATCCAGGACTCATGGAGGGTTATTTTTTTTCTATGGAGTAGGTATGCTTTAACTATAGTTTTTTACTTTTTTCTGTGATGTATTTAAAGATGTAGGTACCTATTATCTTTGCTTCAATGTAGGGATATATATATATATATATATATATAAACTCAAACGGTATACCCTATAGGTATAGGGTATACCCTTTGAGTTTTTCTGTACAGATTAACCTGAAGGGTAAATACACGAAAGCAAAGATAATACCTACATCCATATCACGTAAAATATTAAAGATTAAATGATTTGAAGCCATATTATTTCAGATTTACATAAGGGAACATTTTTAGAAAGAAAATACAGGATTGTTGTGGGAATATTCATATTTCTATTGTAAATTATAATACAAAATTATATAAAAAATATTTATTTTCTCTTATAAAACAAAAATATTATGTTACCTAGGTACCTAGTTTTTTATAATACCTAGCTAGGTATTATAAAAACTGTAAATAATCAAATAAAAAAAAATCTGGTATTGCCACGTTCTTCGTGGAAAACTTCAGGCTGATCCTTCAGAGGATTCCTCGGTTTCTGGTGGTGCTTCGGTAACTTCTGCGGAGGCATCGGCTAACGCTGCATTTGCTGATGCTGCCGCATGTAGTTGGCGCTGGGCTTTTGACAGATAGATTTAATTCTAAATTTGCCTTGTTGTCGCTGCCAAATGATTCGTTATACAGATTCTGTAATCATGTTAGCATTAACAATGAGTTAACTAAAACTTAAATTCCAGTTATGTTTTGATCAACTCTTTTCCTCACCACCCTTGAGGTAGAGTCCAAGGCGCGTTTTTTTTAACGTGGTTTCCCCAGTAGGCCTATTCCACGGTCATAAAAAATAAACTTACGGATGCGTCAATGCTAATTTCGGAATCTTCTTCGCCAGTTTAGATAGGAGCAACATAATCCAATAGGATGAACAAGAGCTTGCTGCAGAATATATCGTCATATTTATGAATTAATGAATGATGAATGAATGATGCATAAATGATGAATGAATGATGCATGAATGAAAAATAATGAATGAATAAATGCCGAATGAATGATGAATGGATGATAAATGGATGACGAATGAATAATGCATAAATGATTAATGCATGATACATGAACGATGATGAATGAATGATGAATGAATGAATTATGAATGAATGATGAATGAATAATTGATGAATGAATGAATGATGAATGAAGCAATGAGGTCTATGAAAACGAAACTTCCACACAACCTGATCCCGAAGCATTGCCAATATCAACCCCGCAAGGCTTGAGAAGTCACCTAGGAAAAAAAAAGTATCCAAAGACCTATGAAAAAACAACATACCTACCTATAGGTATTAATATATTAATTAAAAATAAGCAAAAATTAATGCATTATTACAATCCATGAAAAAAATACATCTAATACAACACCTCAATGGGGGATGTCATTATGGGTGTTCGACAGTAAGGGCACCTAGTACTGGGCGAATCGTCCTCCTCATTCCTACGTTTCCGAAAACGTGAAGCACAACTCCGGCAAATGCAGTAATGTCTACATTCCCTTAGGAGAAACCTTCTACGCTTTCGAAAGCATACCACACACTGCCATTTGCGGATCTCTTCAGCTTCAGCTTCGGCAGCATCCTCAGAGGAACTGTCTTCCCCATCTAAACATATAAACAATAAACATAACCTTGTGAGCATATAAAAATGATCTAATTGTATAATTATAATTTTCCAAAACATTCCAGAAGTTTCAATTATTGAAATAATAAGGGGAACGTGAAATTTTTGGGGTGTTTAAAAAATTTAAAAATTAAAAAATGGCTTAAGGACGATAGTCAATGGCCTTTTGAAGAAATTAGTTTGTCAATGAACAACATTTATTATTATTGTGGGGACTGGATTTCCCACTCTTGTCTGTCAGTACAATTTAAGTGATTTTTATAATAATTTTTATTTATTTTATTTTTATTGCTATGTATTTCGAATTATTATTAGTCAGTAATTATGTTTAAACTTTTCAGGTAGTAGGTTGTAAATAGTGTATTGCAGAGAGCGTGTGTTTGTTACCTGGAGCCTTGTAAAACATTGGAGTTTCCTGTCATCGGTAAACATCCTTTACGATTGCTTACTTACCTCTCCGGTTTCTTTACCGAAAGTAATTTATTTAATTTTATTTTTATTACCCTTTTATAGATGCGCTTGGATTTTTCCAAATGTGTCCTACCTATCCCCTACCACGATTAGGGGTGGGTGGCCAAAGGGCTCTTGGAAAATGTCTTGGTCTATCACCAGACACAACGTACTGACTGCCCGTTTTGAGTACATCGGCTCCGGGTGACAACACATTTAAATTATAATTCTGTTTGTGTATATATGTGTATTGTATTGTATATTGTGTATATGTAGTGTAATAAAGTTAAGTTTGTAAATACCTCGCCGTCGATCAATTTGCACACAACTACCCGCACCAAAGCAGTCGCTAAAGTGGTGACCCCGACGTGATCTGTAAGTTTTTTTTATGTATTCGCAAAATTTTTTGTAAACTTAGTGACAATAATTGTGTTAAGTGGTGGACGACACGGGTAGTTTGTCGGTAGTGCGCGCGTGATTGTAGACCGATTAACAGCCGTTATAATAGTGTAGGTATAGACATTAAGCAAGTGTCAAGATGACCAACGTCGATCAAATGAAAGAAACCGCCACGAGCACGCTCACAATATCGAAACAACCACGTTTCCCGGAGTTCAATGCAGCCGATCCGGAATTATGGTTCTCGATTGCGGAGAGGTATTTTGAAGCGTTAGGTCTAAACGACAGCCGTAAACAATACCTGAGTGTGTTATCGGCCATACCAACACGTTACGCTAACGAGGTGCGCGATATCCTAATGCAACCATTAGGCGAGGAACCGTACAAAAATTTGAAGGAGAACCTCGTAAAACGGTTGAGTTCATCTCAGGACGAAAAGACGCGCGAGTTACTTGAAAACGTAGTAATGGGAGACGAGAAGCCATCGCAGTTTCTTCGTCGACTACAAGCTCTCGCAGGGACAGCAATACCGGACAACTTGCTGAGAACATTGTGGATGCGTGGCTTGCCGGAAAAGATAAAGCCTACGATGGTTACCGTGCAGGACAAGTCCATCACCGATATGGCTGAAGTTGCGGAT